AGGCGGTTCTGATTGATCTGAATGAGTGTGGGTAACATGAGTCTGCTGGAGGGAGAAAAGGAGCCCACCAATATCTCCCTTATTGACGGGCGGTCTCGTTTCCCCGGAATGGGCAGTTGGCTATATAGTGACCGGGGTTGCCACAATAAATGCACAAATTTGTATCTCGACGTCTTTGTTTCTCCTCTGTAGACAGATGAGATCGACCTATCTGCATAGGTTCGGGTTCCGGAGGTTCAGAGAAACGTCTGGTCGAAACTGCAGGTTGACTGGGAGGCAAGCCTGGAAATGAGTCTCCCTGGGACTTGTATTTTCCCAGTGGTGTTCGGTGTAAACGAGGCTCACCTGAAGGCATCGCGGAACCGGAAGTGGTGAAGCGGTGGGAATTGTAGTTCCTTTCTCTTCGCCATTCCCAGAAGCGTTCGTCTAAAGCTACTGCCAGGTCTATGAGCTCGTCGAAGCTTTCGGGTTCGTCCCGTGCAGCGATCTGGTCCTTGATGGGGTCAGACAGAGAGTGTAAAAAGGTATCTTGCAGTGCCGTTTCATTCCATCCGGTCTGGGCCGCGAGAATGCGGAACTCGAGGGCGTACTCCGCGACAGGTCGACTGCCCTGGCGTAGTCCGAGAAGCCGCTTTACGGCGTTCGGCTCCCGCAGCGATCGATTGAAAATCTTCAGGAACTCCTTTAACAAGGTATCAAATGAAGCAGTCTCAACGTCATGGAACTGAAAATAAGAATTGGCCCAACGAAGTGCATCACCCTTTAATTGGTTAATGAAATACGTGATCTTAGCAGAGTCAGATGAATAGAGCTGAGGGGCTCCCTTGAAGGCAAGCTTACATTGTATGATGAATCCTCCACACAGGCTGGGGTCTCCGGAAAAATATTCAGAGGGTTTAATTATTACCTGTTGGTTTGTTGGTGTGACTTCTGGTATTGGGTTGGAGGAGTTGTTTACAGGAGATGTACTAGATTCTGTAGAAGAAGGAGAGGATCTTTGTCTAAAAAAGTTAAATCTGGTCCTCTGGACATTCAAAAAAACCCAAAACAAAGCAAAACAACAAAAAATGTAGAAACGTTTTGTCTCTCGTCCGAGAGACTTCTTCAGTCTGAGGTGCTGTTTTCAGCTCAGTCTCTTAAATAGCACCTTCTCAGAGTGGATCAACCAGTTTTGCTGATGACAACCAAAACCAGCTGATCACATGCTCAAGAAGGACCATCAGCCTAACAATGGATCATTAGCACCTGATGGCTGTTTACTATTCACAGAGGGTTGAGTGATACTAGCAATCACAGCATTGTAAGAGGGGGACAATTGAACACGTAGGCCTCCACCCCTGTTTAATGATGGACAGTTTCTTTTCACAAAGATGGCCTCCTTTACTCCTCTCTCAAACCATTGTTCCTCTCTATCCAGGATGTGCACATCTTCAACCCTGAAAGAGTGACCGCTGGCCTGGAGATGAGTGTAGACCGCAGAGTCCTGGCCTGATGATGTTGATCTTCTGTGCTGGGCCATCCTTTTGGCCAGTGGCTGTTTAGTTTCCCCGATGTAAGACTGATCACAGCCCTCCTGACACTGAACAGCATACACAACATTACTCTGTTTGTGCCGGGGGACTGGATCTTTGGGATGAACCAGTCTTTGCCGTAATGTATTTTGGGGTTTAAAAGCCACTGGGACGTTATGTTTAGAAAATAAACGTCTCAGTTTCTCTGATACTCCCTGAACATATGGAATGACCACTGGTCTGGGTCTGGGTTCCTCCTTTTCACCTGTTGGCTGACTGGAGTCCTGTTTGGGTTTCTTCTCTGCTTTTAGGAAGGCCCAGTTAGGATATCCACATTGCTCTAGAGCCTGTCTTGTGTGGGATTTCTCCTTCTGCCTGGCTCCTGAGCTAGTGGGGACGCTGTCTGCTCTGTGATACAGAGTCCTGATGACTCCTAACTTGTGCTCCAAAGGGTGATGGGAGTCAAACTGCAAATACTGGTCTGTGTGGGTGGGTTTGCGGTACACCTCAGTTTGCAAATGTCCTCTACCAGAGACTGAGACCTCACAGTCCAAGAAAGCCAACTTGCCATTTTTTTCATCTTCTCGTGTGAACTTGATGTATTTATCCACAGAGTTGATGTGGTCAGTAAAATGTTGGACTTCCTGAGATTTAATTTTAACCCAGGTGTCGTCAACATACCTGAACCAATGACTTGGTGGTGTCCCTGAAAAGGACGTCAAGGCTCTCTTTTCTACCTCCTCCATGTACAGGTTGGCAACAATAGGAGAAACTGGAGACCCTATAGCACACCCATGTTTCTGCCTATAATATTGCTCCCCATATGTGAAGTAGGTTGACTGCAGGCACAGTTTCAAGAGTTGACACAGTTCTGTGGAAAGCGTGGTTCTGCTGCTCAGAGTGGTGTCTGATTTTAATCTTAAATTGACCACCTCTACTGCATCATCAACAGGAATGCACATAAAGAGTGATGTGACATCAAAAGAGACCATTGTTTCATCAGTCTCCATGATGACATCCCTCACCTTATCCACAAAGTCCATGGTGTTCTGTATGTGGTGTTCTGAGCTGCCAACTAAAGGGATGAGTACAGACACCAGATATTTGGAAACATTGTAAGTGACAGAGTTAATCATGCTACAATTGGTCTTAAAGGTACACCTTGTTTGTGGATTTTAGGTAAACCATACAGACTGAGCTGAAAACAGCACCTCAGACTGAAGAAGTCTCTCGGACGAGAGACGAAACGTTTCTACATTTTTTGTTGTTTTGCTTTGTTTTGGGTTTTTTTGAATGTCCAGAGGACCAGATTTAACTTTTTTAGATTTTTCTACCTGGATTATTGAGCATGCATCAGGATATGAGAGGATCTTTGGTTTAGAGAAAAAAACATACCTCCAAGTTCTCTTAGATTCTCCTGGATTTCTTGCTGTTGGGTTAGAACTTATTGAAGTATCCCCTCTATTCTGGTAATTCATTCCATCTGCGAAGAGGACGAGGTCTGCTCGTTTCTGGTCTCGTTCTGGGTCTGTTTTGGCTGGAGCATTTCTGTAATGACTAGCGGAACCCAGATTGGTACAAGACCAGAACGAAGCAGACTCAGATCTTTAAAAGGAAGAAACAGTGTTTATTATATACAGTGTAGGGGGTTTATATACATATATGGCAGTCCTCCGGCGATCAGATGTAGGTGTCGGGAGCCAGGGTAGAAGGGGATCCACGACGCGCTCCAGTGATAGGGGCCGGGCGGAATGTACAAAGCAGGTCTGGCTGGAGGAAACAGGATGACAGGACTGGCAAACAGAATCCGCTCGACGAGTCTGGCAGATGAGTGGCACGACAGGTCTGGCAGGCAGGTGGTTGACGAGGCAACAAGGATGGAGTCAAACAGGCAGGGTACTGCGGGCATAAAGAACAAGGTAAGAGTATATCGTATACTCACACGTTTAGGCTGGAGGCATAAATACCAATAAGGCTCAATGCTCCAGCGATGAGTCACACAGGACTGCAGCCTTAAATAGAGGGGTTCCTCATCAGGTGGATGACCGTCAGCTGGTGTTAATTAACGGCCATCTTGGAGGAAGGCTGCAGACATTGGGACTCCTACACAGAGATGTTTCAGCTTCTTCAGCAGCTTTCAGCAGAAATCATTCAGCAATAAGCATTCCACCAGGGAATGAAGTTTCTCTAGTTATTTATTATGATCTTTGTAAATCAGTGCAGCTGATGTAAAACAACTGTTTTTATGACCAATATGTATTTGTTGTTTAATATTGTTAAAACTTCATTACTGCACTTAAATGAACATATTTATTTAACAACACTTTGATTAACCTGAACACTTAAAAATAACATTATAGAAGAGCATTCTCACTTAATAAAACTAAATATTGAGCTAAATTAAGCAGGTTGAGTTAGCTTTTGTTGCATCATCTTCTTCTTAGTTCAGAATTTAAATTTGTGTAGAAACTGTCACGGGAACTTGGGTAAAGGTCATGGATGTTATCACTTAATGTTAAATTAATGTAGAACCATGTGTGTGAGTTAGAGTTGTTTGGTCTGAACAGAGAGGAGCCTGCACACCTGATGAACTCCAAGGCCTCTGGAAGCTGGACAGCAGAGGCTGTCTTGACCTTGAATTCTGCCCCCTCTCAAGTAAAAACTGGGTTGAAAGATCTTCTTGTATCCTCAGTGTGGCTTATTTGAGTAATGAGATAAAAATAGGATAATTAATTTATCAAACAGAAATGACCGTTTGAAGATAAAAAAGGGGGGGGGGCAATAAAATCCGCCTAGCAATAAATCTCTATAAAGACTTTCTGCTCGTCTGTTTAATTAGTTTTCTGTTTGTTTCTAAGCTCATTAACAAGCAGCTCGCCTCACAGACATGTCGGGCTGTTCAGAGTTTTACCTGTAGGTGAACGTCAGGAGTTTTTGGTAGATTGCATGTGGGAGGGAGAAGCAGGTGGCCATTATCCAGATAAGAGAGACCCAAACACCTCCCTGTGATGGAGTCATGCGTGGTCGGAGGGGATGTAAAATCACCTGAGGAGAAAAAAAAAATTAACAAGCACAGATCAGCTCTTTTGCACACACACACACACACACGCACAGTCAGTGCAAAGCATCTGAGTAATCCACAGTACAATCAGCCGAGCCAACGTGAAGCAGAGAAAACAGCAGCATTCACATCATGCCTCATCTTTATTTTGCTGATAATCAACCTGTGGCTGTTCTCGTCAGATAAAAAAACCTTTAATTGAATTCGTGATATAATAGAATGTGAGTTTGTTTGTTGCAGATAGGAGCTCTTTTCAGCGGCTAACAGAAGAGGCACATTGTACAAAAAGCAATTGTCAGACAGCTGCTAACAAGAAGAAGAGAGGCTTCCTGTTCCTCTGCAAGCCAAGAAATTAAATCTAGTTATGCTGCTTTCTGCACAACTAAAGACACTCTTTACCTTTTTCAAGGCACAGACCTCATCTCTTTTTATTCAGCAGAGATTCTGATTTCTTTCTTTGAATGGAGTTTTATTCTGAATAAAATCAAACAGGGGAATTTTGCTGTTTTCAATGAAACACAAACTTGGATATGGTATTTATTTTTACCTAAATTTAGAGCCAGAACACACATTAAAGACAGTTTAGAAGTTGCAGTGTTGGTGCAGACTAACTGTTCTCCAGGACCTATAGCAACGAGACCATCCATCCATCCATTATCTTTACCCGCTTATTCCATTTTGGGTCACGGGGGTCGCTGGTGTCCATGTCCAGCAATCACTGTGCGAGGGGCGGGGTACACCCTGGATGGGTCGCAAGTCTATCACAGGGACACATAGAGACAAACGAGACAAACAACCATTCACTCTCTCACTCACACCTAGGGACAACTTAGACTTACCAATCAGCCTAACATGCATGTTTTTGGTCTGTGGGAGGAAACCGGAGCACCCGGAGAAAACCCATGCATGCACGGAGAGAACATGCAAACTCCACCCAGAAAGGCCCCCGGACCGGGGTTTGAACCAAGGACCTGCTCGCTGAGAGGCAGCAGCTCTACCAGTTGCGCCACTGTACTGCCGCAATGAGACCTCCTTAGAGGTTTTTACTTTAAAGAAGAAATTCCCTTTTTTTTCTTGTTTGCTGAAAATTTTTCACTTCTCATCGAAGACGCCTTTTCAATTTGAACTCAGTGTGGAGTCGTGACCTTTAAAACTGCAGTGAGGTGCTTTGTTGATTTTCCTGAACTCACACTGGGCGGCTGTGGCTGAGTGGTTAGAGCAGTCGTCCTCCAATGCAATAGTTGGGGGTTCGATTCCACCATCAGTCACATGCCGAAATGCCCCTTGGCAAGACACTGAACCCCTCACTGCCTCCGATGTGTGTCCCATCGGTGTATGAATGTGATAAAGCTCTGATTAGTCCCTGTATAGATCTAGTAGAGTGCTGTATGAATGGGTAAAGGAGGACACAGATTGTTGTAAAGAGCTTTGAAGGGAAGTCTGACATTGTCATTGTTGTATGTTTCTATACAATGATGAAATTAGTTCTCTGCATTTAACCCATCACACCTGAGATACACCCAGGTGGAGCAGTGGGCATCTACAAAAGTGCCCGGGGAGCAATTAGGGATTAGGTGTCTTACTCAGAGACACCACGACATATGGGAATGGCTGGGAGTTGAACCGCAACTTTCTGGTCCAAAGTCGGCTGCCCTGCCTCTACTCCATCTCAGCCCCCAACTTGAGTTGAGTATCTTAATAGAAAGACAGTCCATTTACCATTTTCATGCGCATCTCCTTCCCCTCTCTCCTGAGGGCCATTAGGGTCTTTATTGGCCTGCTTGTGTAGATGTTAGTGGTGGGGGTGGTTGTGTGGGGGATATAGTCTTTAGCTGCATTCCGTCACAAACATGGATGATTATGAATAATTTTTCTAAAGTCAAACATCAATTTTGGTCATATTAATCTGCTTCCATCAGTCAGCAGAATTTCTCCTAGTAGAGTTACCGTAGCCACCTTAATTGAGACGTGCGTTTTCCCCCGTCATGTGATAAAGGGGGAATTGAGCATGCTGTCCATCTCTCTGTGCTGTGAGCATGAAAACTTAAAAAATAAGTGATGTGCAGAGTTCAGTTTTGGTGTGTGGCAGCTTCTAGTCGTAAGACAGTTTATATTGTGTTGTCACGTCATAATCAAAGATGGCTGCTGCTGTTATATATATATATATATATATATATATA